CGCGCTAGCCTAAGGGCCACCTTAGCAAAGCGCATCCCAGGCTGCATAGCCGCACTACCCTACCCAACCATACCACACATAAACATGACACTACCCCCGGGGTTTACACAGACGAGCCGGCGAAGCAAGAAGAGCGCCAGAAGAAAGGGCCCTAGCCGGCGGGGCCCAGCCAGGACAAAAGGAGGTCCCACAAAGCGCCTACACCGGCCGCATTTGCGGTCGGGGTAGACGACGGATGGGGCCCACCTACGAAGGCTGTCCAGGCCTACACGAGATGAGGCAGGATAAAGAGGGATAATCCCCCTCGATCCCAAATCATTGAGGTCAATTTCTAGCCATAGAATAATGGCGCGGCGCATTACTATCTACAAATGTAAATTAAAGATTTTAATATAATAAACTGCAGATGGCGCTTACATCAGACGACAAAATAGAACGAAATAAACATCTGGTCCTGGTCATTCGGTTTTGTGTTTCTTTAACTGTTGATATTTTTGTTTTATAAATGACAGATTAAAAGCGATGACAGCGTATGGAAATTTAAGGGATGTATGTCGATTATTCAGTGATTAGTGGTTGTTATGCTCCAATTTTCTCCCTCCTCCCTTGTCAAGACATGAAAAATAATAAGTATTGTTTGATTATCGATTTATAAACAGCTAATGTTTATTGATAAAATACGTAATAGTGTTATCAAAAATGGAACAAATAAATGTTTTATCAGAAAGTGGCATCTTAAAAGCCATGGAAAATGAATTTTATTTGAATTGGAGTAATTGTACCTTCACTGACAACAGCCTATCTGCAGTAGACGTGAAGTCAAAGATTTTGGAATTTTCAAAGTTTTTAAATAGTGCTGGGAAGCTATCATTACTAAGTTACAACAGATCAGAAAGTGAAGAATTTGTGCCGCTACTTCTAACTTTAAAAAAGAATATAAAGTATATTCTAAGTGAAATAGGACATTCTCATAGTGAAAAGAAATATGAATACATCTGCTGTGAATGTAATGAAGTTATAAATATCGACTCGAAACAAAATTTCTGGGCTTGTTTGCAAAATCATGAGCATGTTGAGTATCTCTACAGTAAATTTTTGACTGGAACTTTGGATACAGTAAGTGAAAGTATGACAGATATTGCAGAAGTTCAGGATTCCATTTATTCAAATCCCGTTGCTGGTACAAGTAATTTTGAGTTTGCTAATGAAAATACTGACAGTGGCATAGATAATGAAATTTGCGAAGGTGACCACAATGAAGTTTCTGAGTTTACAGAGAAAAATGAATGTAAAGAAGATGATGTAAACAATTTCAGATTTAATTTTGTATTAAAATATGATGATGCAATTGAAATTAAACTTTATCCAGAACGGCTAATGAAAACAGTGTGGAAAATTGACAGAATCAAGGAGTATACGATACAGAAAACTGGTCCATTCCGAGCAGTTTGCCTCCTATGTTCTTGTGATTTAGTTGCTAAGACTAAAATATCAAAATTTGCAATAGAGGATCATACCATAGGGCAACGCCATTTACGAAACGCTGGCAGTTCTGAAAATGTAAATAATTTAAGAAACTACCACGATTTCTGGTTAAACCTGGAAGCAACTTACCAATCACACCAGGTATATTTTAAACCTAATTTTTCTGCTTTTAAATGTGTTTTGTGTAATTTGGCTGTTAAGTATGAAGACGTATTGTTGCACATACAAAGAGATCCCCACAAAAAGAAAGTTTTGGATTTATTTAAGAAAAATAGTAATATTTACTATTTAATTGAACTTCATGTACAAATTTATGGTGTTACAATGGTACAAGTGGAGTCTACAGACAAGGAAGTGAAAAAGGAAATGATGACAGTTAAACCCAAAGTTCGGACTGAGAAGACTGATTCAGATTCCAGTCCCTCCTCAGGTAATTATTACGTTCTGTATAGTACATAACTCCTAAAAGAAACATGCTTTTTTAGATACGAAAGAAGTAAAACACAATATAATTAAGTCCGTGGAAAATTTTGCCAGCGATAATGTACTGGATTTAATACCAAACAGATTCAGGGAACACATAAAATATCTCAAGAGCAAAGGAAACATGATCAGTTGCGATTTATGCAAGATTACCTTACTTAAGGAAATAGAAATTATAAAAAAGCATATTAAACTGGCTTCTCATGTAAAGGCGTCTAACATTAAACCAAAAAAATATAATTACTACTGCGAAATATGTAATATAAAAATTCCAGATGAGGTAGCATGGAATTCGCATTTCAATGACGGACCTAATAAGTATAATGTTGTTAATATAATTCATATCGATCACTTATAACATATTTTTCAGACATGCAAATATGGCGGAAAGTCGTAAGAATAAGACAACGGAGTATGAATGCACCAAATGTTGTACCGTGATTTATGGCGACGATCTCTCTCTCACTCGCCACCTTTCGGTGAAGAGAGGCAAAAGGAGTAAAGGTAAGTAAAAATGTACGCTTAGGGGAAAAACGGAACCGGAGTTATCTATAATTAACACTATTTGACCGTCGTTTATATGTTTATTCAAGTGGTTTTTTTCATTACTATTTATTTCCATGATAAGTATATAATGCTATCTGCTATTAGTAACGATTTCCAAAAACAATCGTGTTTTTATGTATTTCAAATATATTCTCAAAGTCCATTTATGATAAAGTAGTTCTATTAGTATCTTCTAATCTACCAGAATAATTGGGTAATTTACTCGAAAAAATTATTTGATTAATGTCTAATCTAACAGACGTTATTTAAAATTTGATAACACAAATGATAATTATAACAATTAACTTAAAGTTAGTCATCACCAAATTAAACTTTTGATAACATGTGGATATTGTTAAGAATTCCTTCAAATATTTTAAAGGGAGAGTTTTTGAAAGAAACTAGTGCAAAAAATTTAAGGGTTAAAAGAATTTCCAAAATTTTTACCTAATTTTTGACAGACTATTTAGGTGACAAATGGTCGTATCGAAAATTAAAAAAAAGCATTTTGAAGCTCTAGGAATCTAGTTTTTTTTTCAAACAAAACTTGAATAAAATTAAACGTTTTTTGAGCTTAAATACTTCATAATCATGATTAAAATGGAAAAAAAGAAATTTTATTGAGGTTTTCTTACATTTTTACTGCAAATAACGTTTAAATAGATAAAAAAAAAAATTTTTCAAAGAAAAAGGGCAGTTTTGGAAAAAACAGTTTTTTCAGTGATTCCAGACCACAAAAATTTATAAGAAATTTATCTCAACGGTATGAATCGGGGTCGAATTCTGGTTTGGGTCATCAACTTTAATTTTTATTTAATTAAAAGTTGAGGATCAGAAGCATAGGACAAAAAAGTCGAATCGTGCTGGAAACAATTGGATTATGTTTTCTTCAATGTTCGGAAGGAAAAAAACTCGAAAAATTTTAGAAATTTTTCAAATTTTTTTTTCCATAAATTTAAACATTATTTGCGGTAAAAATGTGAGAAAACCTCAAAAAACATTTTTTTTTTATTTTATTAATCACGATTATGAAGTGTTTAAGCTCAAAAAACGTAACCGTTTAATTTTTTTCAAAAGTTCGACTGACGGGGTTCATCTGGGTATATTGAACTGTAAAAGTCATTAATCATTTCGTGAATATTTCTAATTTGGCCGTCAATTTTCTAAAAAACCATAAATTACCCCTTTTTTCCTATTTTTTAAAATACGGGTAAATGATGAAAAAAAATTGTTCCCAAAAGGTTGCGGCAGCATGTTAGTGTAAAACCTTTATTTTCATAAAATATCCATGGAACTTGTATTTATGGAAATTTTGAATAATAAATCTTAATTTATTATTTTATAAAGTTTTCTAACGGTCTAGATTTGTTGTCTAAGTTATTTACATAAAATATCAAGAAAATTTACTGGGAAACAAAGTTCTGAATTTAAACTTGTTTCCAAGTTCCATTTTTTTTTAAATTTTTGTCTCACATACTTAAGTAAAATTCCTTGTTTAATAAATTGGAAAATGATTTATTAGAGTAGAACTAAAGTTTATGTTTATGTTACATATTTCCTGGCAATCATTTTTAATTTTGCAATAATTTATCTAATCAAAAAATGTTGAAATTCATCAAATACGGACAAACAATACTACTACTAATACAATTTTTTTACATTTTATTTTATTTTATTTTTTTGTCCCTAAATAAAAATCTATTTCATATTATTTTTTAGCTAGATTATTTCTACCAAATTTTAACTCAAAAATTTTTTGTCATTGACACCATAATTAAGACCAACGGAAACACTATATATGTTAAATGTTGGAAAAAGATTTTGATAGTATATAAAATGTAAATTCAGAAAACTAATAGATTCATGAGTAACTAAGAATCACTGATCTTTTAGGTTTCTATACAGTTTTTGCACCAAGATTTGTAAAAACATACTGTTATGTGATAAAAATAGAGAAAACTTAAATAAGGAAACGGGTATTTTGATCTTTCTCAAGAAATTCTTGTTTTGTAAAAAATACAGAAACTGTAGCTCTATCAGTTTATGAATTGTTCGGGGAATCCCAGTCGGGAACTGGGGGAATACCAACGATTATTTTTGTCTTAAACCTGTATCTATATATTTAATATTTTAAATAAAGAGCAGTGGTATCTGATGAAAATTAAAGGTGTCCTATTTTGATAATAGAGCATGAGACTCAAACCTAGCATAATATATATTTTTTCATATTCGACAGTTTACTTATTTTTCATAGAAATTTCAAATTATTCTTAAAGTTGAATATTAAGAAATTTCAAAAAGGAATGTTGGTATCGAATAAAAGTTTAAATAGGTATGACTACGAAGAAAATGAAATTTTTTATTATATGGCAGTTAATTATACGTAACCTTTTCAACCTATTTTAATATTTTATTTCACAGATTTCATTAAAAAGTTTTTCATGACAAAATTGTCAAAGTGGGCATAGAATTTTCACCAGTTGCCATCGTAAAAGAGGATAAATATGTTACAATTGCAGCAAACCAATAAAAACCAGATAATCACAAATTCTTTGCAAGCCTGTACAGTCTAAGAAATAAACTTTATTAAGCCTTAGAGAGCATTATATCATTTCGATACTAATTATTTATCAGAATTGGAAGTTATTTAATGCTGTATCGTCGGTATTACCTTGCAGAACTGAAGTTACCCGAACCCGTCAACAAACTGTTCAGATCCAAAGAGGTAATTGAATCCACAGCTAATAAACTTACCTTCGAGGCAAACGATGCCTTAAGGTACAATCAGCTAACTAAAGAATGTTGCACTCGATTGGAAGTTGCCTTGGGAGTGGTATTTGAGGGTTGCCGGGCATATCCTTTCGGGTCAAGGATATCCGGGCTAGGAGATCAGGTAACGATTATATTAATATATTTTTTTTATTCAATAAAATTATTTTATTTGTAACATTCATTTTTAAACTTTCCGTTTTCTTCCAGTACAGCGATTTGGACGTGTTTATAGACACGGGCGGCATGTACTTAGGTTATAAGAACCAAGACGCTCTGGCTCAGGTGCAGCTAGTGAGGAAAGCCGCAGGGATCCTAAGCAAGCACAAAGAGGAATTCCAGGACTTTTTGCAAATACCGACAGCTAGAACGCCCATCGTCAAGTTGTACCACAAAATGACTGACATCGAATGTGATCTGTCGTTCCGACACGGTCTAAGCGTTGAAAATACTAAATTCCTGAGGTAAATTCGGATGCGGCGTAATCGAGAGTGAACTATTTGGAATTTATTTATTTCAGGTTCTGTTTGGACTTGCAGCCGATCACTCAACCGTTCGTACTACTGTTGAAGAAATGGTCCCAGCACAACAATTTCACGGAGCATATTTCTACTTACGCGTTGGCCCTTACGGCGATTTTCTATCTTCAGGTCAACAACTACTTGCTGTCGGTGAAAAAATTGCGGGAGCTGAATCCGGAGCCGTCCTTAGTTATAGACGGTATGTCGCAGTTGTAGTGATCGTAAAAAAAAAATTAAATTCGAAATGAATCTTATTTCAATTGCAGGCTGGGAGACGATAAAGTACACGATGCCTTTGGAGAAAATGAAAACGTTTGTAGATCCATATCCACATAGCATTACCAACTTACTGAAGGATTTTTTTGGGTATTACGCTAAATTTAAATATTCGGAGGAGGTGAGTAGGAATCTATTCCCAAATAATTTTTTTTTTATGGGCGCTGCCGCTTTAAAATGGAAAATTGATCTCTATCTTTTTCTATAAAAAACTAATATAGATTCATAGTTGCCACAACTTAAAATTCAATTTTTGTCCGCCTAGCGCGCTGTTGTCATATCACATCAGATGTAGATCACCTAATCTAAGCGAACATCAGAGGTCATCGACACTGAGATTCACAAACTAAACACAGTGCTTTAAAAAAATAATAAATACTATTTATTAAGGACTTTGAAATGATTTTAAGAAATCTTTTTTAGTATTTTTATTTATTTTTTATTATGTATGTGTTATAAGAGAGAAAAATAATAAATTTGAAATATAAATTAGTCAAATTTTAAATTTTACACCGACTTTGTAAATGAACTAAAACATCTAGGAGTTATGTTGGACAATACCACATTGTTTGATGCTGACTTTCATTTTGGCAAAAAAAATATCGAAACATTTTATTTTCTAGAATTACTGTGTAAAATACATTTAATTCTACATTTTCATTACTGTGCAAGTTTGTTGTAATTTTTTCGATTTAAATAATCAGCTCTTTAAAAAACAAATGTATAAAGAATAATAAAAAGAAAACATACCGAATTGTTGGGAAATACATTTAAAAAAATCTGCAATAATAATTAATCAAAATTTCAGGTAATTTGCCCTCTATTAGGACGTACCATCCTCAAGAAGCAGTTTTTTGAGGGAACCCTTCCCGAAGAAATGAAATCTTACATCCTTCAGCTCCAGGGAGAAGAACCCGAGCAATTTCGGGCAATGTCGTCAATTTGCATACAAGATCCGTTCGATCTGAGCCACAACTTGACAAAGGCTTGCCAACCTGGTACATTAAATAAATTTAAGACATTCTGTGAATTATCTTTTAAACTTCTTGAGTCCACTGTATGATTTAATTTTCCCGTCTTTTTATTTTGTTTTACATTTATTATTCATGTGTGTTTTTTATAATGGAATGAAAATATTTTCAAAATTTTATCGATTGTGACGTTAATACAATATAAATAAAAACTGTGTTAGTAAGATTTTTAATTTTTCTATTTTTTTGGTGTCAAAACTGTCTGGAGCACAGAACGTAGAAAACTATGTCATTTCAAAACTAGAAATTTTTTACTTCTCTGAACTTATAATTAACAACGACACTTATCGGAAACTAGGTAATATTAGTATTTATTTTCATTTCCAATAGTTTTTTTGCTTTTTGTTTATTGGCCTTCATTGCCCTTGAAAATAATCAGGTGTTATTCACCAAGTCCTAAATAGCTCAGCTATTAAATGATTAAAATTAAATCGTCTTTGTAGAAAGTACTTTAAGGGTAAATGTCCCTCTTGCTCCCCCCACGACGCCGCCTATGTCAGAAATATTTAGAATCGAAATAAGATATGAAAATATATTTACAATGAAACCCTAACACGGTTTCCGAATGGTTTTCTTACGACTTAGCATAATTCGCAAATTTTATTAGTCATAAAATTGCTGATAAAAAAAAGCATTTGCCTAATAACCAACAGATGTCCCTTTGCACCTGAATTGCTGCTGTCAACCGCAGGTTGTGATCCGAGCTGTCTTAAAGTCTAAGGAATTTTCAAGTAAAACCAACGATGTAAACCGAAAGCCGTATTGTTTAAAAAAAATTATAAATACATTCATATAGCGTCAAATTTCTGGTGGTACAATGGCTCTATAGTTATAAAATCGTAATTATTTAATGCCAACACAAGCGACTGCCATGATTGATTCTAGCGTCGTTTAGATGATGTTCGAGTAAATAGTTTTTGTATAATGTGGGAAATTTGGCCAAAAAACATCAGTGAACTGGTAATCATTTATTTTTAATACTCTGTAGTTTTTAAATGTTCTGAAAAGGAGGTCAACGTAAGTCAATTTACTAATGAATTTACAGTTTGACAAGTAGTTCAATGGCTACATGGTACGCCATAGTTGATATCGGATTGTTTTTGACTAATGTTTAAGAGCCTAATTAATGTGTTCGGGATATTTTTAGGTGGAAGCATGATGTGCACCAGCTCCTTGTATAAAAAATCGTACCGAAAATATGACTTGTGATTAAGCATGTGGGAGTGTTGACATAAAAATTTAAAACGTCTTTGTTGTCAGCCTGTACATTGACCTTGAAAAACTTCAACCTTTTGAAAATACTCGATATGTTTTAACCTCATTTATAGTTTGTTTATATTTTTGAAAATTTTCCGTTTTGCAAATATAGTTCAGTCTCAGCTTTTTATTGTATTATTTGTTAACTGTGACTATGTTTTGAAAATTGCTAGTGATCAGAATGGTGGTGGATGTACCAATAAGACCTTTCCACACCATAAAAATGCAACCTGCTGGAATGAACCCAAAGGAGCTATCAGATAATGATGATATAGCTACTTCCTTGGTTCTGGACCCTCACCTTGGGTTCAGCACTCATAAAATGAATGTTAGGTTTAGACCACCTAAGACAAATATAGCTGAACTAAAAAGTATTATAGAAGAATTTATCCAAAATCAGAATTATGAAAAAGCTTGTGCCCGTATATTGAAAGGTGACTGGATGCCCAGAATTAAATCGAAAAACCAACAAAAAAGATTAGAAGAACACGTGAGTTTTTAATTTAATTTAAATATTTGTATGTTATTAAAACCTTTTGTAGATTTATCGATACTTGAGAGTTTTTGACACAGAATCGGGATTTGTAATAGAACCCTGTTATCGCTATTCCCTAGAAGGCCAAAAAGGTGCCAAAATATCAGCTACCAGAAAGTGGTACAAGAACGAGAAAATAGAATGTTTGGTAGGTTGCATAGCTGAATTAACAGAAGAAGAAGAGAAACAGTTGCTTCATCCAGGTAAAAATGACTTTTCAGTTATGTACAGTTGTCGGAAAAATTGTGCACAGTTATGGTTGGGCCCGGCGGCCTACATAAACCATGACTGCAGAGCAAACTGTAAGTTTGTCGCAACGGGTAGAGATACTGCTTGCGTTAAAGTCTTAAGAGACATAGAAGTAGGCGAAGAAGTAACATGTTTTTATGGAGAAGACTTTTTCGGTGATAAAAATTGCTATTGTGAGTGTGAAACTTGTGAGAGACGCAATACAGGTGCGTTCGCAAAAGAGACAGACCAGAAAGAGGAGAATGGCTATAAGTTGCGTGAAACTGACAACCGCATAAACAGAACTAAACACAAACTACAGGGTAGTAAAAATTCAGTTAGTTTTTACGAACGGTTACAAGTAACAACAACAAGTAAAATCGTGACGCCTCTAAGTATGAAGGAATTGCGCCAAAAGGGTCTTACTAAGTACGATGCCAAGATGCTTATCGAGCACGGTTGCAAGTTTTCCGATATAGGGGATTTTAGCAGAAAGGACCGTCTTCGTATTTCCACTGTAAATATTAAACAAGTTAAAAAGTGTAATTCTAAAAAGTCTGTGATAAATGGGGAAACTAATGTCCTGTCTATTAGCACGAGGGAGACTCGCATGCAGCGGAGACAAGCTAGACAAGCGAACCAAGAGCTTATGCAGACTGCCACACACAGTATCTCTAGGTCTAATCTATTAGACGACCTTCAAAGTAACGCCAGTAGTTGTCCCAGTACGTTCAGTGATACAGAGCCCGCATGCGATGCCACGCAGCAGAATAAGAAGTTCAACGACAGCCACGAGAGTGGCAAAGGAACATCCTCAGGTACATTTGAGAATTTATTTTAAAATAATTTACTGCCTATCTAACAATTCAGTTATAAGAAATATGATTCGGAGAATTTAAAAACAACATCGTTGAGGTCAGTTTTCGTTACAAATTGATCTGGACGTCAGTTTATATACAGGGTGTTCAAAATTAATGAAAATGTATAGTTTATTTCAAATTGCAAAAACAAATCGTAGAATAATTTTTACTTTTATTACAAAAATAATTTAATGTTTCAGATATCTTATCATTTATCTCCAATGCTCTAGCAACATGCAATTAAAATACATTTTTATAAAGTATTCTATTGTAATAGCGAGTCAAACTTAAGGAGGTATATCGGGGTCATATGCTTTTCTTATGGGACTAAAGCCCGTTGCCAATTTGAAAAAATTAAATTCTATTGAAATTATTTGCGATAAACATTATCTATATGGTAAATAAATCTACTCATATGCACATAGCATACATATTGACTAATTAACAACATAAAAATATCATATTTAAGTAGTTTTAAATTATATTTAATGAACGCATAAAGACTATGTAGATGTGGCAACAGCGCTAATATATGACTAGCAGTTGTACACACTGCGAACCTAGAGACCTCGGACATCCGAGTTATTGCGCGTCAAATTCGGGTAAAGTTGTGTACGCGTTCAAAAATGGTGTGTAAACTATGTACAATATAATTATTATATATAGCAAATATATCGTATTATCCTCGCGAAGATTTGTATCCTTTATTTAAAATCCTTAAATCATGTGAACCGGTAAATCAACGAGAATTATGTTAATTTAGTTCTAAACGAACGAAATGACACTTGTGCCCATCTCTCGTCCAAGTCATAGAAAATGTTGGATGCAATTTTGAAGGTTCTGTGATAGAAATTACATTATTACTCACTGTTCGTGTTTTTAATCTCTATTTTAGTAATGTTACTAAAGTTTTGCTATAACTATAACTAATTTTTTAGATATAAAATTTGCTGAGAAATATTTATGCTCCTTTGTTATTCCATACAAATGCTTTTATCTCAGGTATTACTAATTATATTAATGAAGTAAAGAAAACTTTATGTAACCCTAAATATTGCTATGGGCAAAAAAAAAGACCCGCACCGTCCATCTTCGCCATATAAACCTATGTTAAAATGAACAACTTTCAACAACAATATCTCAAAATCTAGATTCAAAAAAAATTTCAAAAAAATATGACGCACAGAGGGAGCACTGGATAATACACTATATAAATTTCAAGTACATCTGTGCATTTGAGTAAACTCGATATACCTCCTTAAGAAAAAAAGTTTGATTGAAAATAACTACGTCCACCCTTATAATGACACCTCTGTACGTAACACAATTGAATTTTGTGATTTTGTGTGTGACATTGTAACAAACATATGTATGTTGTTGTAGATATGGGCGAGCAGGTCACTATGACCGGTATAACATTACGTAACCACAAACGTCTCAGCGATCCGAGTATCGACGTAATATCATCCGATACACTAACTCCGGAAACAGCAAAACTAACGTCTCAAGTCGACTGCAATCAGAACGGCACCGATGGTGAAAAATTAAACTACAACCATATACCCCACGACGAAAAGTTGGACATTAACGAGCCGGCGAAAGCAGAGGACATCTCCAAAAGAAAAACCAGAAACTCCAACCGATTGGGCTCCGCTGTAAGCGAAGAGCCGAAATACGACGACAAAAATGACATTTACGAGTTCAACGACGACGACGTACCGGACGATTTAATATTGCGCAGAAACAAACCTACGCAGGACAGTGACGTAAAAAATGATAGTGTAGTAAACGAAATCCACAACCAGGAAGATACGAGAGTAAAGTCTGAAAAAGATACTGCCACCGTGGACAGCATTGACAGCGCCATGGACAGGTGGCCTGCGGAAAGCGCAGATCGCCCACCCGAGTGTGTTCACCACGTAGAAAAAACACCAGAAAAGTGCGGACGCTTAAAACTTACGTTGAGGATGAAACGCAGCCCCGTTCTGGACGAGGTCATCGAATCGGGCACTAGCTTGAGCGAGGACTGCTTCGAGCCGGAATACGAGGTGTTGAGAGTGGAGGGCGTGGACAGCGACCCCTACACGCCCTACACTCATAGAAAGAAACGGCACAAATCTAAAGACAGGAAGAGGGACAGGAGGTTCAAGCAGGCCGAGGAGGAGGTACCGCAGCTTCCCATGAAACGTTTAAGGCTTATTTTCGGTAATGAAAGTCACACTATAGACATCCCGTCCACTAGTTCTAATTGTCAAACATGATGGACCCTTATATTCCTTTTCGACTCGAATATTGCATCTTAGCATTGTACAGAAACTTGTTCGGTTGAGGTGGTAATCGGTTCTTTTAGTTTCGTTAAGCCACAAAATGATCATCCTTTCAATCCATAATCGAGTGGGTGCAAAAATTCCAATACAATAAACGGGGGTAAAGCTAAGGTTTTGGCCCAGATATAATAATAAGTATACAATTTAAATATCTGACGTTAGGCTGCAAATTTAGCGGGAAACACAAGAAATGGTTTCCACGAAACGTTAATAGGCTGTTTGAATTTGAATGTGCGGGGCGGACCAAATTCCACACGTTGGGAGGGTTTCTCATATTCCAGAAGAGATATACAAAATTTAAACGTCATGGGTTCGATTTCGATACGTATGTACAGGATGTTTTTCATTTTTTGCCGTTTTTCTCAACTTTCGAATAGCTTTTGTGAAACTTTTTGATTTTTCTAAAGGGGATCTTCATCTTCAATTTTCTGTGTAGAATCCAGTGAACACACCATATTTTTTATATAATCAGTTTTTCTGTTATATTCAAACGTACACTTTTTAAATATAGCTTCGTATTTAGGGTGGGCCAAAAAAAAACGAATATTTTTTTTTGTGTCTTGTGAAAATATGTTGGTTTATCATGTTTTAAGAGCCTCCTCAAAAAATCATCAGCTAAAAAAAAATTTTTTTAGAGGTCGCTCATGATTTTTAAAAATTTCCAAAATTGTCAAAAATTTAATTTTTTTGTTCTTGTTATTTTATTATTTTCTAGGTTGAAAAAAATCTCGATTCTGAAAATTTCTACATTTCATCATTATTTTAACTTTAAAAGTAGTTTACCTAAAATATTTTCGGGCGACCTAAAAATAAATATCAACGAACCAATAATTTTTTTTTACTGAATTTGATGAACAAAAGAATAGAAATAAATCACAACACTTAAATTTTAAAAAATTAAAAAATTATAAATATTTGATACTCAGTGCGGTAGTAAATTTTGTCTCGAGATATTTTTGAAGTGTCTCATGATTTATTTCTATTCTTTTGTTCATCAAATTCAATACAAAAAATTATTAGTTCGTTGATATTTATTTTTAGAGGTCGCTCGAAAACATTTTAGGTACACTACTTTTAAAGTTAAAATAATTATGAGTGCCCTTTAGAAATCGATTTGAAATTTTCAGAATCGAAATTTTTTTCAACCTAGAAAATGATAAAATAACGAGAAAAATGAATGAAAAAAAAATTCAATTTTTGGTGATTTTGGAAATTTTTAAAAATCTTGAGGGACCTTTAAAAACCATTTTGGCTGATTTTTTCAGGGGGCTCTTAAAACAAGATAAACTAACATATTTTCACAAGAGGCGTGAAAAAAAAAAATGAACATGGTGCGTAAATGGGCCGAATTAATTGCTCATAAAACAGTTGAATATTCTTACCTGAAAAGTAGGCCCTGTATATCTTAAACGAGACATATGTTTAAGGTTATTAAGAGAAACCCTTTAAAACTGTTGTAATTGGTCCACTCTGTACGCAAAAACATTACGGGTTGATTAAATTGGGATAAAATATGGATTTTTTTTTTAAACTACGAATTCGAATTTGAAATTATTTTTGTCATACTGTTGGTGCCCGAATTAATCAACTTTGTAATATACATACTTCGATAAGTTGGATGAGTATTTATACGGGTTGCTTCAGAAATAAATACGTCGCGTACATGTAGAAATAGCATCATTATTTCTGAAACGCCCTGTATAGGCCCAGGTGGTGAAATACTTTGAGTGCAATACCATTTTGAGTGCAATGTACGGTTTTGTGGAAAATGCAAAATCTTGTGTTCGGTCCGCCTGAAAATAGGGGTGTAATTTTAGGCATATAGGTTTTTTAATGTCTAAAATGTAAGAACCTTAATCTAATGAGATTATTAGATTGATCTTAAAATTTTATTTTATAGCGCTCCGACTGACTGGTTATAGTTTCAAATTCCCTTAATTTTTCCTGCCCGCTGAGCGGTATAAGTGAAAAATAATTAGATAATCGTTATGTATGTTTTTCGTGTCATTAAATTGTCTGATTTTCCGCGTATTTGTCGTTATTAACAAGAAAATATGTTTTCCTTTTTAAATTCAAAGGGGAAGGAGATCTTGGAAGGCAACATTTTTGTGTGTTTTTGATGTTAAATGTGATGTACCTAACAAGGTTAAGCTATCCATTGCGTTTATTTAAAAACTCAAATGAAGAAAAAAAGGGAATTGCATTGCAATAATATTTGCTACAAACTTTGCTGTGTGATGGGATTTGCCAAAGACTGGACTCGCAGTTGTCTGATGAGAATTGATTTGGGGCATTGATTCGTTTTCGTGAATTCTGTTACCGATATAAATTCACTTTTCACTTCCCATTGTCCAATTGCAAGTTTCAATATAAGATCGAGTATGGATGCAAATTTTTATATAATTCCCAATTTTTGCATTTTATTGGAATAATATTTCTTTTTAATTTATACTTTGCAATTACATTTGGTATTTGTCAATCTAACTACAAGGTGGTCAATGTAATTGCTTCGTTAAAATTTTGGCACTTATTTCTGTGACACCCTGTATATTCATACCACCTTTGATAAATTTTTTTTCTTTTGAAACATGTCCCCGTTTTGATTTCTCTGCAGACCTTTTCAATTTAGTGCTTTTTCAATATATCAATGAACAAAATTTTGTGTCAATTTACAACCATCGACGTTATGCAAATTTCGAGCCAAAACTGTTTGATATATTGATCACCTCATATTGAAAATCAAATGAAATGTTAATTTTTTATTCCTTGTGCTATTAGGTGGAAGGTCTTGCAAGTATTTTATTTTTTCATTTTACAGCCACGGATTCTTAGAAGTTGTCTAAATATACATAAATTTGATGCCTACAAATGATTTCGGTATTTTCTAAAATTAAAAAAAATAACATTTTTGTGTTGTTTACTCTAGCGTTTTAATTTTGGGTGACGTATGAAAATATTCCTGAGCCAATGTAACGTTTCTTGTTTTACTCGAGATTATTTTTAAATTTTTATAACCTTATTCCGGCTATGCGTCCGGTGTGTATAAAATTAACTTTTCTTTCATCACGTTCTTTTAGTTTTAAGTAAGAGTGTACATTCCAACTAGTTTTCGTAGCTTAATATTTAATTGTTTTAACTAAACTTTTTAAGCGTGCTACTGGGTTCAAGGAATTGGTAATTTTTTTTATTTGGTTATTTTACTGCCTGAGAAAAAAGTTTTGATGTTCGATATAGAAAACACTAAGTTTTGGCAAAAAAGTAGCCAAATAAAAAAGTTTCGAAAGTAATTTCTTGTCGTTTGTGTCAGAAAGTTTATGTTAATATGGTAATTGTTCAACTAAGACATGTCTCCGAGATCTATGGTATAGCTTTAGTTGCATTGCTAGCCTAATATACCTGTTTTCTGTACAGTGTACGAAGGATCATTTTATTAGTATAATTTTAGGATGAATTTAAGAAACTTTTAATTTAACAGTTAGGGTTAACGTGTACATACATCATTTATTTATTTTTACAAGCATTTATCAGCAATAGTTGTATTATTTTTGTATTTTTTCGTACTTTAGTATTATTTATGAAATTAAATATATACCTCATTGGATTAGTTGAGAGATGTTTTGTATTTAGATAAATTCTTGTTGAAATTTACTGTTGAAATTTTATCTCTGGAAATATTAAGCATCTGTGTATAAAACTATGTGAAATGCACAATTCTGTACATAATTACTGTAGTACGTGTAACAATTTGGAGTAATGTAGTTTAGTTTATTTACCTCATTTCTATATACATATAAATTATTTAATTCTTTTTCTTATACTTAATTGAGACATTGATTCCATAATTGATAAGTTCCTAGTACAATTTGATCTTGTACTAAACATGCTTTATGTATATCATGCATCTGCATATTATTCTATACATTTTTTTATTCATCTCAAAATATATCATAAATATCTTGATTTTTTTTTTCGTCAAAACTACCAATATTCGAGAATTATTTTTTCATGTGTTATAAATGAGTATACATAAAAGAATCTCTCCTAGCAGCTCCATATGAATAAAAAAGCTTAAAAATAAAAAATAAATGGCTACATACCTAACTGGCTTTTTCAAATTAAAATGAAAAAATTTTCAATTTTATTGTGTTCCTAATAAACAGGTTGGATTTGTACTATTTTATTTTAATAAGTGTTTTCTAATGATGGTATATGTAAAATAAGGTAGGTATTATTTGTTGTTAACTTTGAAACAGATCATTATAAGTTATTAAATTTCACTTAGTCAAAAGTTATATATAAATACAAATATTTAATTTTTCATTAAAAAAATTAGAAAAATTATCTCGGTAGCAAAATGATCATACATCATGGATATTACAATGAATTATCTCTGTAAAGAGAATGAAGCAACCTTTCTAAATTATACCTTGGACGTGTTCATTACCAACCAGGAAAAATGAAAAAACTGATTTGAACTTAACAAATTTTTAAAATGATTTTATAGTGTTCTCTTGTGTCAAAAGCCAAAATTATAAAAAAAATAACATTGAAAATAAAATAAAAATTCTGCTCACAATAGATCATCTACTTAATTAAAATTATTCTCGTGGAAAAAATGCACTTCCTATTTGTTTTTAACGTAGTTAGCGTTTATTTTGTTAAATGTTACAAATGTGACCTGTGTTAAAAAAATATTGTGCTTCTGATATTGCGAAACAGTAAATTTGCACAGCGTCATCAATTAACGTTATAAATAAATATTTATTTTACTTTTTAAGCATTTTTTTAATGTTTAAAAAGTGGGTATTAAACAGAAATATTTTGCCAATTTCGTATAATAAAACTAAATATATAATTATAAAAATTTAACGGTTCTTTAAAACACCAGAAAGAAAAACAATGTAAAATTATAGTAATTGATAATTATAAACTAATGATAATCCGTCCTAAGGGTGGGTTGTAGAAAAAACAGGTTAAACGAAGTTTACAAAAACGGGTTAATTTTAAACTTAAATTATCAAATGGTGTGTTGTACAATACGTAATTGAGGGTCAGTTACCTAATCACCGGTTTTGCAAAGTTGATAGTACATTTTCGTTCATCGAACCGCGGAATCCATGCATCTGAACTACTAAAGTATTTAAATATGGACAAAGAAAAGAAAAAGTAAAAGCCCGTGCACAAAATTTTACCGAGACGGAAGAGAGAATCTCATTAAATTGCGTCCAAAAATATACGGTCTCCGATGAATTGCATTATCTATTACCTATCACTTCATTAAACTCATCATCGGTATAATAATACAAATCTATTACGTATTAGATTTCACTTTTGGAATTTATTATTTTTCGAACTACGGTGGACTAATAACTATGGATATAAATGGAAATAACAAATAACCGTTCATCGAAGGAAAAATCAATAAAAAGTATGGTTATATTTGATAAACTTAGTTTAAACTGCGAAATATGGTCGGTAAACTAAAACTGGTTAAACGAGGAAAGATTATCTGTTCCTAACAAGAATGAAGCAACCTTTTTAATTTGTACCTTGGATATGTTAATAGCCAATCAGAAAAGAAGAAAAACCTGATTTGAATTTGGAAAATTATTAAGAGATTGCATAAACTCTACTGTCAAAAGCCAAAATTTTTGTAAAAAACGACAAACATTGAAATTAAGACACAAAAAGTGATATGAGAATTTAAATTTACCCATGTGTGGAGAAGATGTACCTTCCGCTCCTTATTTTCGTGTAACAGTTATTTTTTGGGGCGTTTTTGACTAATCTATTTAATTTTAAAATATTTCTCACTATTCAGAAGGATTTAGTGTTGAAACAAGCAGGATTTTCTAGAAAAAAATGAGATGATGCTGTCACAATATTTTATTCAATGAAAATTCTTGTGAAAAAATAATTTATTTTGTAAATGTTCCATTATTATTATTTAATAATTTATAATCACAACATTTACCCTATTGATAATGTTAATTTAACGTAATAGCATTCTAAAATCTTCAATACAAATAGCTCAATGCTGTAAATACCTAGTTCCTTGTCCACCCACCAGAGGGCCTTTTGATTTGGAAAATATAGTAGCTATTAATAGTTAATAGCAATTTAGAATTACTCTGAACTGATATTAGTTGCTAATAGTTACTATTTTTGCCAAAAGGAAAGCCACCAAGGAGTGCTCAAACTTTTAAACTCAATAACTAGAGTGTACAGCTCAATAATAAAAATAGTTTCTGTTCCACCCACCGGGAGCGCTGTAACTTTTAAACAAACAATAGGTACTAAAAAATATTCTATAATTTCTATATAGTGTGTCCTTTGTGATAGAAACTCAGTACAGCATGTTGAAAGTAGATATTCTTTTTTGACATTTCCGCAAAAAAGTCTTAATCTAGTATTCTTCATTTTTGAATAATTGAAGTACAACAAACTATTTTCCAAGTTACATGAAAATGGGCCCAATAGAAACGCGCTTCACAGGTAATACTAGGAATGTTACACCTCTCACTAGCATCATTAACGTCCACGTTGTCGAGCCTGGAATGTTGGACTTGAAGGGATACTGGGCAAGAGAAAGAGATCGCCGGTACGAAGGCTCCAGTCGCTAACAAAAGCCAAGAAGCGGTTGCAAACGTCTAGTCGCAGCCCGCAACACACAACACTGGCAGTGGAACTGCGATCGTGTAGGGAGAAGTCGACTTTGCGCGAGAAGTTGAAAACTTACTCTCTTATTTTACTTGTGAAATATAAACAGATTTGTTTGTTCAGACGATCATCACCGAAACAAATTTATGTGTTGTGATTTGTGTTTACGCACTGTTTAATTCAGTAATACAGTAATTGTTCTTAGATGGTTAGACTGAAGTCCCAAGAAGATTCTGTAAGGTAAGGTTAACCCAATGTTTTTGTTTTTAATTGTCGAAATGCCGCATTCCTATCCGGCCAGTTAGATGAAGTTTACGATTTAAATTATGTGGTTTTGTAGTTTCTTGTCCGGACTTCTCTAAATACGTATTTAATACAAAAATATTAGAAGCAGGCATTAAATAGCAATTCGTTCTAAACTTTTCTTGGCCGGTACGAATTGGAGTAAGTAAAACACGTGTTAAATACTTAATAATAACCCCATACAAACAATTCAATTGATACAATTACTGTTGTTAGAGATTAGTGATAGATACTCGCTTAATCTTAAAAGTATTTTTTTGATAATTGTTGTTTTCGTGTATAAATTATTAATGTTTTAGTTTTCGATTGATTTTTGAATTGTCCATTTAATTTTATATACTATATAAAAACATTCTCTTGTCCAATGTGCCTTAAAATTACTATATTTTGAGTAAACAGGGTGTCACGCTGCCAAAAAAGTTGAAAATCAAATTTGCTCTGTATTTGAGAAAAAAATTATTTTGAACTTTTTTTTTCGTTTTTATTTAATAAAAATTCGATTTGCATCTCCTTTTATTGTTTAAACTGGTGAAAAAATGTCATTTTTATTTCTCCTTTTACTTATTATTAGATTTTTTGAGGGTAAAATAATTTTTATCGTTGACTAATCCTGAGCGCAAAAGTTTATTTTTTTAGCAGGTGGTAAGCACTGAAATAAACAAAAAACTAACATATTACGCCACAAATAGTTTTCAAACAAATAGATATAACAATTTTGGGCCCTTTTTCAAGAGAACTTACTAAGGTTCGTGGGTGTTTATTTATTATCTTTTACAGCCTTATAATTTGTACCATTTATTGTGCATAAAACTACAAACAGGTAGTTATATTGGTAAATGATCGATATAAAACTATAAATATTTTTGCGGCTCCTTGTGGAAAGTGTATAAAAATAGCAATAAAGCAGATAGTGAGGTGAAAAGTCAAAAATTAGATTACAATGGAGACGGATTCTTTTTAATTTGCGTACATCGTCCAGACATTTATTTTTATTACTAAATTACTAAACAAATAATTAGCAATATCTCGATCCCGGCTAATTTGAGCTATGTTTAATATGTAAATAATATGCAAAAATAAAATGATTACATAACATTGTCTGTGTTACTGAGATACAGGTTCCTTGTTCCTTTTGCGGCGATATAAATTTTTGTATTAATTAGTTGTTTGTTTCTCTTTCAACAAATTTCCTATTTAGGAGCAACTTGTTAGTGGGAACTAAAAAAATATTACGAGTTGTACAAAATTATGCAATTTTAAAGTTGGCCTGGTTGCTTTATGTGTTCATCCCACACACTTCATAGTTCGCTTATTTATATTTAATGCGACATATTTTGCTAGGGAAGTTGCAAGGAACACTCAATCATTTGCGTACTGGGATGCGTCCGCAGTTGTAGCGCGTCATATTTTTCTTTTAGAGATAAATTAAAAACACGTTTGTCGTCTTGGAACGAGTCCAAGTGTGCTTCCTCGTGAATGACGAGTGTTTTCTCATTCACTTGCTCAAATTCTTCGCGTATCCGGAAATGGTACAGAAATAATCACGTATGAAATGAGTTATTCCAAATATTTTAATGGATGCCAAAACTGGGGCTCGCAATAAACCGAACAGATTCGCAACTTGCAAATACATTCGAAATACAGCAGCAAAATAATGGTGAAGATAATTTGTTGTATTTTTTTTAGGATATATGTACACTTCTGTTGTGAAAATGATGGTCTAGTTAGAGCGTGGTCTGTGGTAGACCCGATATCTAATAAAATTTATCCAAATAACAAATAAAATTATCTACCACTTTCTTTAAAGGCAGCTTTGTGTGAAAAATAAATATTGACACCGAACACACAGTGTCGTTTTACCTTTGCGTGTATTTTGCCTTCCTATCGGTTACCTATTTTCTCGGCGTAGCGCCGAAAGTGTAGTTAATTTGTAAAACAAAGCTCGTGAGTAGGTATTTTGGAGCCTACGAGCTTGCGTTGGATAATCTTTACCAATTAACTTTCTACAAAAACGCCTAGAGTTGACCTAGAAATACGACCATTCGCATTTGTATAAAACTAGGGATTCCTTATAAGGTAGTTTCATTATTGATGAACATTTTTTATATAAACTATCACGAAAATTTTGAGACTACAAATTATTTTTGTTTCTTTGGCTAACGAGCAACAGGAAATTCTGAGAAATTTTGAACTTAAAATATCTGTCAGTGTAATTTTTCTACAGCTATAAATTTTATCGCGCAAAATATTTCTCGAATTTGAATAAAAATATTCTATTTATAATGTTGGACTGAAAACAAAAATCTTGACGATTTCAGTAAACATTATTGTTTTAAAAAAAAGCTCAGGGTGGCACCAGCACTAAACAACACAAAAATATTTATATCCTACAATATGCCTTATGTTTGGATAAATCAAACTTTAATCACAGGTAGTACACAAATAAATATCGCTAATTTTTATATTAAACCATCCCAAATAGACCTTTAAATCTCAATTTTGGTTGCTTGAATTTTTGATATAAGTTAGATTGAGGCATATAATAACAATAAGTAACGGTCATTTTTTTCCAACCCCCGTTCAGGGGTGAAAAAAGATAAAATAAAGGTTTTTTTTCCAGATAACTCAAAAGGAGCAACAGCTAGAAAAACAAGTTTCTTATAAAAGTTGTAGAGCATAAAATTCTAGATAAAAATGGTCCATCGAGTGGTCCATTAACTTTTTCTTGTACTATTAAAATTAACAGAGTTATTGTGGCTAGAAGTTAAGGGATGATTTCAGAAATTTAAAAAATCATAACAAGCAGAAACATGAATGAATTTTATAATTTTTTTTTTCAATCTACTCTAAAAAATGTTTTAATAAAAAAGTTTTAACACAAAGCGAACGTGATTTTTTGTCTTTGTCTTAAACCAAAACTTCGAAAGCAACTTTTCATTATTTTAAATAATCAATCGAATGACAGAAAAAAATTGTTTTAATGTTAAATCATAAAAATTAACGATTAAAAATTTAAGTTATAACTTTTTTATTAAAAATTAAAAAAATATATCTATTTCTCCGAAAAGAAAGTTTACATTTTTTAGAGTAGATTGAAAAAGAAATATATAAAATTCATTCATTTCTCTGCTTGTTATGATTTTCTAAAATTTCTGAAATCAGCCCTTACCTTCTAGCCACCCTAACTGTTAATTTTAATAGTTCCAGAAAAAGTCTAAGACCATTTTTACGTAGAATTTTACGCTCTACAACTTTTATATGAAATATTTTTTTCTAGTTCTTACCCCTTTTGAGTTATCTTGAAAAAACCCTTTATTTTATCTTTTTTCACCCCTGGCCGGGGGTTGAAAAAAAATTACTATCATTTATTGTTATTATACAGGGTGTCTCATAATTAGCTGCCAACTCTGAACAGGCCGATTCTATGATCAAAACTAAGTAAAAAAGTTCATATGAACACGGGTCCGGAAATGCTTCCTAAGGGCACAGGGACCCATTGAAGAGGGAGGAATGGAAATCATTTTTTTGCAATATCTCTCAATCGCGTTGTGATAAATGAATGAAATTTGGTATACACAGCTAAATTTTGATGAGCAATTTGATGGACTAATCCATTTATTTCCACAAGGTCCATTGGGGTGGGTACGGGGGGGCCCTTGGTACTTTGCGTGTGTAACTTTTTCATCTTTGACTTTTTAACAAATTGGACAGCAAATTCCGTTTTCCCGAACTGTTTTACGTTAAAAAGGTACTCTTGTTTCAAATCGTTATCTTTAACGGTTTCTGAGAAAATCGCTCTTGAATTAATCCCACTTTGGTCAATTTCATAGTAATTTAAACAAAAAAAATTTTTTTGTTTAAATTTAATCTAATTTTAATAAAAAAATAATAATAAAAAATTAAATTAAATAAAAATTAATCCTTTAAATGGAAAAGAGAGGAAAGGAAAATTATTATTATTATTTTTTGTTTAAATTACTATGAAATTGACCAAAGTGGGATTAATTCAAGAGCGATTTTCTCAGAAACCGTTAAAGATAACGATTTGAAACAAGAGTACCTTTTTAACGTAAAACAGTTCGGGAAAACGGAATTTGCTGTCCAATTTGTTAAAAAGTCAAAGATGAAAAAGTTACACACGCAAAGTACCAAGGGCCCCCCCGTACCCACCCCAATGGACCTTGTGGAAATAAATGGATTAGTCCATCAAATTGCTCATCAAAATTTAGCTGTGTATACCAAATTTCATTCATTTATCACAACGCGATTGAGAGATATTGCAAAAAAATGATTTCCATTCCTCCCTCTTCAATGGGTCCCTGTGCCCTTAGGAAGCATTTCCGGACCCATGTTCATATGAACTTTTTTACTTAGTTTTAATCATAGAATCGGCCTGTTCAGAGTTGGCAGCTAATTATGAGACACCCTGTATACCTCAAACTAATTTACATAAAAAATGCAGGCAAGTTGGCCAAATTGTGATTTAAAAGCCCATTTAGTTGGACTATTAATAATAGAATGTTTTCTAAATAAAAATGTGATCATTTATATTTTCTTATCATTTTTAATAAGCATTTTTCCTCAGAATTAAGTGGCAAATGAAAAAATTATAAGAGACATCTTATGGCAGTTAATGAAAGAGACAAAAAAATGCTCAAAATTAAAAATATCAAGCACTGCTTTTTTAAATAATTAGACCCTGTCTGTTCATTATTAAGATATTTAAAAACAAAATGCGAACTGTCTCGCTGCGAAACCTTCATTATTTTTCAAATATTGCTCAACAATGAAAACGCTTTGTTTTTTTCTGTCCATTTTTAATAACCCTGAACTGTCATCTGTCACGCTGTCTTTTTTTTCGCAAAATTTAAAACTTGCGCGATTTTTAAGAAGTTGCATAGCAGTACATCTTATGTACCGCCATATTTTGCAGAAAA